AACTCTCACGAGTTAATTCGGTGCTAAGTCTCAGGAGTCACAGCCCACTTCCTAAAGCACAGTAGAAGGCTAGCACCAAGCGATACAACCACGCCAGAAGGATCTATGCTGCAACGAAAGCAGGCAGCTGGCTCTGACAAGGCCGTGCCTTATGGTTAAGTAACATTTTAGTAAAGCACTTCCTTTGGCCAGCGCATACATCACGTACATTGGCAGGCCAGGCGTTCCCTCCAGCGTCATGAGCATTAGGAGGAAGTGAAATCAATGGGCACTAAAATCAACGCGCTCTTTAATTCCTCTTTTCTGTAGCCTCCTAGGGGACACAGGGAAATCCCTAGGACCCCGCACTGACTGCTTGTCGAGTTCCTTGGTAACATTCCCGTCAACTTCAAACGCACAAGCCTATTCTGGTCTGCAGAGAAAATGTGTCAGCTGTTGAGCTGGCAACGTGACAGTCGTAGGGATGATCACACAAGTTCAAAATAGGGAGCAAAGACAGCTGTTGTGTTGGTAAGGCCAGAAAACAAAACTGCTCTAGGTTAATCTGAAAACCTTGTTTAGGGTTTTGTTTTGTTTTTCTATTCTGATGCACTAGAGGGGGATGGAGAAAGGGGGACAGAGAGTAAATGATCTAACAAAAGTCACTGCGTGTGAAAAACTCAAAATACCCCAATTAGCATCTACCAGCCTGCTCATACAGAGGTATGAGGTAACACACAGCCAGTCAATACCTATGGCGAGAAGGTGGCATGCATTTAGGAAAAAGAGCACAGAAGAGCCAGGTCTGAATTGAGGACTCAGTTCACTTACGCTCTTACCAGCTATGGGAACGTGGCAAATTGCAAAATATTACTGAGTTTCTGTTTTAATAAATAGGGGTGAAATGAGTGTCTGTCCTTCTGTAAAAGAGATCTTACAATGATCAGATGAGATGGAAGGCAAGGTCCATGCTAGCACGGTAATCCTGCCTCTCCAGCACCCATTGCGTATTCAACAGAGGAGCAGCTGGTGCTGGGAGGAATGTGCTCTGTAAACTGAAACCTGTGAGGCTGTACTAACTTGCATGCTAGAGTCTGTGATTGCATGGTGTGTCGTTTTTGCTGTTTGACAGTGTCTGAGAAAGTCTTCCTTTTGACCTGCCCACCACAGGATTTGTGTCTTGATACCTTTGCACTCCACTCTTAAGCCACAACAGGTGGGGTTTCCCCTCTTTACCTATGAGCCTGGCAGCAGAAGTGGCAGAGATTGGCCTTGCAGGTCTGACACCTCTTCTCTACTTCTCTGTCGCTGCACAGGTCACACACCAGGCCCTGGCCTTCCCCACGCAGACTCTCCAGCATCACATCATTCATGGCCAGGTGGTCTATCGTTAACGCCTTCACTCCACCCAAGGGCAGGTCCACCTGAGCATCACATACCGGACAGAGGATGCCAACCTGCGGCTGCAAGCTGCGTGACTTGGGTTCCTGGAAGGGGGACCCCTCAGAGCTTGTGTCTGAGTCAGCCCCACGGATGTCCACTACTGAGAACGGTTCCAGCTTTTCCAGACACGTGGTGCACACCGTGTGCAAGCAAGGTAAGAGCCTGGGGGCTTTGAAAAGCCCCAGACACGAAGGGCAGTGAGTCTTGCCTGAGTTCCCAGATGCATTCGCATCGGGGACTTTGTGCACGAAACCCAGAAGGGGCTTTCTGTTTTCTGACATCTTTCCCACGTCTGTACCCAGTATCAGAAAAGGCCCTGGGGAGTCCTACAATGCAGCGTAAATTCACCCAGAGACAGAGTTCCCAGAATTTGAACAGAGAGCATGTGGGCTCTCGTGTTGCCAAATAAAAGGGCAACCGGGAAGAGGGTGCCTCTGAGGAACTATCCACAGAGCTACTCCGGATTTGTGGCTGGGCCCTTCCTTTCCACTGCATCCCATACCAGACTCGTTCACGCCCTCCTCAATCACCCAAATCGTCCCCCTCGCAAGCGCTTCTAGATCTAGTCCCCAGCTAGTCCTGCAACCACCACTCAGACCCCTGCATTTCGTGTCCTCCACGGCCACCCCCCCTCCCGCCCCACTGGTCCCACCCCCACCACGCGACAAGCGCGCCCTCGCGATGAGGTAGAGGGTCCTCCGGCTCTCCCAGGGTGCGGCGCCTTGTGCTGCCGCCTCCCTAGGCTGCCCAGAAGGCCCTAGAGCTGTCGGCCCGCCTCGCACCAATCCCAGCCCAGGTAGGCTCCGAAGAGTCCAATCACCGTCCGAGAGGGGCGGGCCTCGCCGCTCGGACCCACGCGGCCCTCCAGAGTGACATCACTGCCATCCAATAAGCTCAGCAGGTTCCACATCCGCGTCTGGCTACTCGCACGGCGGGATAAGCTGGACCAAGGGACGACAGCAGGAAGGGCCGGGAAGAGGAGTCTGGGAGTGAGCGGCGTAGTGCGGTCGGCGTCACCATGTCACTAAGATGAGTTCTGGCCACCAGAGCGGCCTCAGAACCTTTGAAAATGCCTCGGGGAGTGCCGCAGAACGGGATCCGCCCCAAACTCAGATAGGGTTCACCCATTGGTGCGTGATACTGTCAGTCCGCCGAGGTGTAGCCCGAAGCATGCTGGAACTTGTAGGTGGCCTCTCCTTGGCTACAGAGGCTTCCGCGAAGCAGGGATTACCCTGCAAGGTCTCTTTCTCCTCCGTCTTCTGAGCATTTTATTTTTATTTTTATTTTATTTATTTATTTATTTATATTTCTGTCCTGGGATCCCTCAGGTCTAGCGTGCTGGGTACCAAAACCCCCGCAGCCGGCTAGCTTCTGGCATTTTCCATGGCAAGGGAACCTCCGGCTCTGGTCCGAAAAACTAAACGAAAAGTTTATAGAACGGCTGTTCTTTGGAGCTCAACTGAGTTTCCGGGGTGCTAGCCGCTTTTAATTCACCGACCTAAGGCGGGAGGGAGCATGTCCTAAGAGTTTAGATACTTCTCAATCCGAATTCCATAGTAACAGAAGAGGGTGTGGACAACGACAAGCAGAGCAAGTTTGGCAGCTGTTTTTACAAACAACGGGGCTCCTGACTGGTCACAATGGGACAGTGGAGGATGTCAGTGAGGGACAAGCCCTTTGCAGGCCCGACAACTTTGTAGTTAGGAAGATGGATACACCTGGTACCCTGACCATTATTATTTCTTTGTCTCCTTGAAGAATCTTGCCAGGAGTTTCAGATTCATTCATGTGGTAGCTGCTCAACACGTGGGTGTTGAGACCTTGATCTCTGAATTCCAAAAATGGTAACAACAGGACTCGTTAGCAGCTACGTAAGCCTCTGTCTGTCTGGCTGGTTTCCTTGTTTACAACCTTCCTTTGGTTTCAAGGACCTCTTTATTAGAGATAAATACTGTATTCCTGCTGTTGGAACCTATGCCTTTATGAAGTAAGGACTCTAGTGATATGGGTGGGCTTTCTGTCTATGTGTTATTTTCATTGGTTAATAAAGAGACTGCCTTGGCCCTTTGATAGGACAGAAAATTAGGTAGGCGGAGTAAACAAAACAAAATGCTGGGAAGAGGGCTATGAGGCAGATGCCATGGAGCCAGCCACCAGGTCAGACATGCTGAATCTTTTCCGGTAACCACCACTTCGTGGTGCTACACAGATTATTAGAAATGGGTTAATCAAGATGTGAGAGTTAGCCAGTAACTAACTCTCTAGAGATAATGGGCTAGGCAGTGTTTTAATGAATACAATTTGTGTGTTATTATTTTCGGGGCTAAGCTAGCCATGTGGGAGCCGTGCGGGATGAAAAGCAGGCCTGCCCACAGCTCCTCACTACACTCTAGAAAGGGCCCCAAATTGTGGAAATATGAAATTAAAAAATAAAATCATCTGGCTATTTCTGAAATATGTTGGGTTGGAGCTGTAGCTCACTGATAAGAGTGTTGTTCAGTATGTATGAGGTTCTGGACTCTCTCTCTAGCACATGTGTGTGAACACAGACACACACAGACACACACCAACCAAAAATAGTCTGGTTTTGTCTTTATCGTGAGAATCTTAGAGATCTGGCTCTAACTTCACAGTAAGTAAAATATATCTGTAAATGACTCAAAAGCCACTTTTTTGTTTGTTTGTTTGTTTGTTTTTGAGACAGGGTTTTTCTGTAGCTTTGGAACATGTCCTGGAACTAGCTCTTGTAGACCAGGCTGGCCTTGAACTCACAGAGATCTGCACATCTCTGCCTCCCAAGTGCTGAGATTAAAGGCAGGCACCACCACTACCTGGCTATCAAAAGCCACTTTTATATAGAAGTCACGTGACCCCCCAAAGTAAGATGCCTATGTAGGTCCTAGAAATGAAAATGGCCCTTACCTAGATGTGCCAGTCGTTCGTCTTCGGCACTGCCCTGGCCGAATCTTCTTACTCCTCTCCAGTATCCTGAAGCAAATGACAAGAACTCTTGTGGACTTGGCTTTGCTGTGTACTCTTGCTCTGACCTTTGCCCTCCTTGCTGCTTGGCTGTACTTGGTTTCATCTCTTATTCATGCCATATCACATTTCCCATAGTGGGCATTCTAACGTCTCTTCTTTGAGAACTGCTTTATAATTTATACGCCTTGTCTCATTTAATCTTCTAACAGCTTGTGAGAGAACAATCTGGAAGAGGTCTAATGGTCCTCCTGCGCGAACATCTGGGACGGAGACACAGTCTTATGATGTCATGTCTAAGATTCTACTGCAGTCACCTCTACCCTTCTCAACTTCTTACACATCAAATCCCTCACACAGAGCACATTCCTGCCTCCCGTGGAGGGAGAAAACGGGGCCATCTGGAGAACATCTTCACCGTCTACTAAAAGTCTGTGCCTCTGCTCTGCCTCCCTCACGACACTGGTTGCTGTTTTGATCCTGCCCTCCTCTGCCTCTGCTTATGTCACTGACACACTTATGTCACTGACACACTTATTTCACTGACACACTTATGTCACTGACACACTTATTTCACTGACACACTTATGTCACTGACACACTTATGTCACTGACACACTTATTTCACTGACACACTTATGTCACTGACACACTTATTTCACTGACACACTTATGTCACTGACACACTCAGGCAGCCCTTTACATGTTCTTTCTACCGAGGACCATGATCGAGTCCTGCAAGAAAACTCATCGTCCCTCGGTCCAGGTCCCCTCCGCTAGTTAACTTAGGTGGCTCTCACCGCGGCATTTCTTCAAGTGCAACCTTGGGTCAGTCTTCTCATCAACAATTTCTTCTTTCTCTTCTTTCTCTTCGTGTGCAGCTCATGAGGGAGATATTGTCGGACATTTCTCAGTACTGGATCACTTTAGTGTTTGCCGTGCTGTGTGGTGGAACTGCTTCCATACTGCTGTGTGGTGGGACTGCTTCCATACTGTCGGCTGTTAACCCCCACCCCTCCGCTTTGTTCTGTAGCTTTCCCATCCGTATCTCCTCTGTTGGGTCCCAGACCTAAAATTCCAGTGCTGACTGATCTCTCCCCCAAGTGTTAAGTGTCTATTGGAACTTAAGTGTCTGCTCCAAAGTGTGTTCCCATTCCTTAGTCCCCACTTTGAATGTCTCTGGGCTTCTTCAGTCTGGGCTTCTCTCTTCATTACATTCTGCCCTCCAAATTGTCACATGCCATTCTCTGAGGAGATGCTCATCCTCCCAGCCTGAAATCTTATCGTCCTGTTGGCCTCCTTTCTCATGTCCCAGATCTAGGCAGGCATCAGTTTCTTTCCGTTCCCATTGCCAACACCTTACTGCATAGACCATATCACTCTCGCTTCAAGTACCACATTAGTTTCCGAATCATCATTGACTTCCTCTTTTAAAATAGCTAATCTGCTCTTCCAGGTTAATTGCAAAGCCATGCTAAGCTTTGTTGACTGTACTGAAGTCAGAAAGCCAGGGCAGGAAGTGACCTATCAGGAGATCAGGAAGGCCAAGGCGGGAGATGACCTATAGGGAGATCAGGAAGGCCAGGGAGGAAAGGTGACCTATAGGGAGATCAGGAAGGCCAGGGAGGAAAGGTGACCTATAGGGAGATCAGGGAGGGAGATGGTCTATTGGGAGAACAGGGATGCTGATTCTAATACTACTTGGTTCATCTAACAGATACCCAGTGAACGTGTAGGCAGGGAAACAGGTTCTGGCGGACTTGCCTTTTGCCATCTGCCTCCTCAGTCACCATCCCTTTACGTCCTTGATTTCTTCTGAGACCTCCAGTCTAAAGCCCAGCCCCATCCGCTTCTGTCTTCATCCCCTCCTTCCTGGTGGATCTTTCTATGGGCTCTGCTTGAGTTCTGTGCTCCCCAGACTCCCTTTTCTCTTCTTGCTAGCTAAGGGTCTGGAGAGGAATAGGGTGGCTTGGATGAAGTGTGTCCCATAGGCTCATGACTCAACACACTCAGTCCTAGTTGATAGTGTAGTTTGGGGACGTTTGGCAACTTTTAGTTGGTAGAGCTTCCCTGGAGAAAATGGTCCATCGGGGCGGGGTGGGGCAAGGCGGCATGTGGCAGGGCAGGGTGCTTCGAGGTTTTATAGCTGGCCCACTTCCACCATGTTCTCTGCTTCTTGATTTGCCCAGATGTGAGCAAGCAGCCTGCATCCCTACCCGGGCAGAGAGCCACTAGGCTGCCGTATTTCCCCACCACGATGGACTGCCTCTCAAACTGTGAGCCCAAGCAAATGCTTGCTTCCCGTGCGCTTGCCACCGTGAGAAAGGTAACATACACATAGTCTACGCTTGCTTCTCGAGTTCTTCTCCTTCATTCTTACTCCCAATGCCATGCAGGCTGGCATTTGCTGTCAACATTCCTCGGACACAGCCCTTTTACAAATGGCACCGCAACATGCCATGTGCTTCTTTTCAATTCTTCTTTTTCCTGTCTTCACCCACGGTGCAGTTTCTTCTGCTTAACCCTTCAGTGTTGTTATTTGAGTTGTTAGCCCTTACCCCACCCCCACCCTAAAGCCTCCTCGTTCTCCTCTAATTGTTGTGGGGAGTTTAGAAAAAGCATTAGCTTAGTTCTTTAGTTCTTTCATGTGGCCTGTTTTTTTTTTTTTTTTTTTTTTTTAAAATGGTACCACCATCCACTTGTGAATTCAGAGACTTGATGGTGAAGGAGTAACATGGACACATAACTGAAAGGAGAGTATTTCAGACCAGGGAAGCATCTGCTTACCGAGAGGCACATACTTGGTGTGTTTACACAACAGCAGAAGACTGGGGCACTATGGGCAGGACAAAGGAACTAGTGGAGGGCCGAGTCCGATTTTATCATGGTCTTACCTGGGCAGCCAACTTCATTTCTTGTCCTGCCCCTGCCCTACACAGCAGGTACCAGAGCCTCAACCTTTTAAAGTAGCTGTCCCGATCTCCCTGCTCTGGTTCCTGTAGCTTGCCCACATCTCTGTTTGGACATCTACTTCCCCAGGAATCTTCCATTCATGGAGTCCTTGCTGTGTGCTACCCATATGTGCTGGAGAGACTTTTGTCAGCGTGACACAAACTGGGTCATCTGGGAAGAGAGACCCTCAGCTGAGAAAATGCCTCCACCACACTGGCCTGTAGGTGAGTCTGAAACATTGATAAGTGATTCGGGAGTTCCCAGATCACTGTAGGTTGTGCGTCCCCTGGGCAGGTGGTCCTGGGGGGACCTGGGAGGAATAAGAATGGTGTCTGAATGTGAGCCTGGAGAAAAAGCCAGTAAGCCCAGTAAGCGTCGTTCCTCCATGGTTCTGCCTCTGTCCCTGCTCCGGCTCCTGTCCTCCCAAAGTTTTTTTTTTTTTTTTTTTTTTAGTGTTTTATCACAGCGGCAGGAAACCACAGTAGAACAGTATGTACCCAATCTCCTTTTTCTTTTCTTTCCTTTCCTTTTCTTTTCCTTTCCTTTCTTTTCTTTTCTCCCCCCCCGCCCCCCACTTATCTAGCCCTGGCTGGCCCGGACTTTCTGAAATCCTTAAACTCTCCGGAATTCACTTGCCTCGCTGCTGGGTTTAAAGGTGTGCCAGCTGCCAGGTGCATCACATTTTCTATCCCCTCCCCTAATGCTGCCTGCTGCCACCACTGTGCCTCTCTGCCTTTTTTAAAGACTTTGTTCTTATTATTTTAAAGTGAGGTGTGTATCTGGGTATGTACACATGAGGCATCAGAGCCCCTGGAGTTGGTGTTACAGGGAAGCCATCCAGTGTAGGGGCCGGGAACTGAACCCAGATTCTCGGGACTGCTAAGCAAACTCCTAACCACATGGGCTCCTGTCTCACTGCTGCATTACAAACACAGGCTACAGTGCCCGAAACACAACATGTCCAATAAGTGAATAAGTGGCTGAGACACATAGTTCATACCTAGAAACTCATAATATCAGGACAAACACCACCGGAAAGTGTATTGGTGATCTCAACTAGATCGGTTATGGCTTTCTGAAGGTTTTAGCGTGGCCAGCCTCCTAACATGCAGCTCTTTAACACCATCTAGTGGAAGTAGCTTCTGTCAAGATAAAAGCACCAATAAATTTGGTAATGCTCACGTGGCTCTTTTATTTTTTAACTGGGGGGGGGGGGGAGGTTGGTTAGGCTCCAGGACACAGTGAGCTCTAGATGGTTTGGCTTTTACTTAAAAATTCACTGTGCTGAGCCAGGTATGGCATTTGACAATAGTTCCAGCACTTGGGAGGTGGGGGCAGGAATACCAGCAGTTCAAGGTCATTAAAGAAAGGAAGGAAAAAGGGAAGAGATGAAGGAAGGACTAGACGATGAGGTGGTGTAATTATGAGAGACAGCAAGTATAAACCGTCCCCCGTTTCTGACACTTGCTGATAAATGGGCATCAGTTCCACTTTGAGAAGGTGAAGATGAGCTATTTAGAATGATGTCACTTTTCAGGCTCTCCCCAGAGGAGAGGATTGGACTAAACAAACACACAAGACACCAGCTCCACGTTACATATCTACCTGCCCTTACAGAAAGAGTCTTTACTGTCTTGCCTATGAGAAGTCATCCTTTGTTCCTGACTCCATTGGCTGACAGATGTCTGTCATGGCCCCCAATGGCCTATAGCTGACATAGTCAGAAAGTGTCCTTTGTAAGTGATCTTTAGGCTGCGTCCACTTTGTTGTACGCTTGTCCATGCCTTTCTCTGAGCTCAGCTCCATATGTTTATCACACACTGGAGCCCATTTTCCACCTTTCTTGGAAATAAATGTTTTTAAAAGGTATCTGGGGCATTATGTATTTTCTGTTAACAACACAAGCAAATGCTCTTTTATTATATTAGTTGCACTGACATGCATCTTCCATGAAGTCTGTATAAATATAATTGACTAAAACGGGCAGTACAAAGAAGACACCGCATGTAGAAGTCAGGTTTCATGCTGCACGTGGCGATAAAGCTGTTTATTAAGCTTGGAGAAGCGGTTGTGGAGTGCTCATGGTGTGATTTGAGAATTGGTCACAAAAGAGTGCTTTGTGCTCCTAGTAAACACCGCATTCTAACTTAACACAGCTTCCCCTTTTAGGATCTCTTCAGCTCTTGACTTTAATAAATATACCAACTTTCAAGGTTAGTTTCAAAAATGCTGGTTTAAATTGGACCTTTGATGTGGTACACATTTGCCCTGGTTAGGTTTTTTTTTGTTTGATTTAAAGATTTATTTATTTATTTTATATATGAGTGCTTTGTCTGTATGTACGATTTTACTCCAGAAGAGCATCAGATCCCACCATAGATGGCTGTGAGCCACCATGTGAGTGTTGGGAATTGAACTCAGGGCCTCTGGAAGAGCAGCCATTACTCCTAACCACTAAGCCATCTCTCTAGAGATGGCTGGTTTTGTGGCTTGCTCCTTGCCATTGTTAGGGTCTGAGAGAAGCCCTCAAAGAAGACCAATAACCACCTATGTAATAACAAGAGTGCTTTATTAATTTCAACATTGGGGTGGCACTTGGTGACCCCCAGAGAAGGTCACAAGCTCCTTTTAAGTGGAGTTAATGGAATTCTAGAGAGGAGGGATTAATCTGGAGTGAATTGGTGGTGGAAAGATTTAGTCTGGGAACTGATTGGTGAGAGCTGACTGTGGGAGGCTGGCTAGGTACTTTCCGGTGGCAGGGTAGGGGAGGCTATCTTTAGCTTTCAGAAGTCTGCTGAGCTAGCAGAGGGACTTTGGGGACTTGTTGAGCCAGCAGAAGGGCTTGTGGGGGTGCTTGCTGATGGTCACCCATAAGTTGTGGTTTTCCTGAGGCCTCCCTGCTCAGCTCGGTCCCACTCTAGTGAACTGAAACTAAGGCTTAGATTCCTGTCAGGCTACTAGGAGAGGCTGGTAGGAGAGCTTGGTCTTGCTCCCCCCCGACTCCTCCAGTTCTGTCACCAGCACAGCAAGTCAATATGGGCAAAGACGACCTCCTTTGTGCACAGGTTGGCAGAATTTATATTGTTAAAATGGCTGCCTTTCCAAAAGCAATATAGTCAATGTAGTTCTTTTGAAAATTCCAATGACATTCTTCATCTAACGAGAATATTTAATCCTAAAACTTACGAGGAAGCACAAGAGATCTCAAACAGCTAAGTCAACCCCAATGAAAGTGTGTAATGTCGGAGGCGACGCAAGACCTGACTTCAAACTCTACTACAGCCAAGGTGGCAAAAGCAGCCTGGTACTGCTGCAGAACCGCATGACCTAGATAGAAGCTCATGCACTTGCAGCCAGATAATTCTCGAGAAAGGCACCAAACATGCGTCGGAAAAAAGTGGTCGTAATGAAGTCTAGGTATCCAAACTAGATCCCTGTCACTCACCCTGTACACAAATCGCCTCAAATAACCCAGGGGCCTTAACACAGGACTCAAAACTTTGGAAATTATTCCAGATCTAGGGACAGGCAATGGCTTTCTGAATAGGATTCTCCAGTAGTTCAAGAACTAAGAGCAAGAGCTGACGAAGGTATGGCAAATCAAAATGCTTCTCTTCAGCAGAAGAACAATCAATGGAGTGAAGAGACAGCCCATAAAATAAGAGAAAAATCTTTGCCAAGTATTTATCTAATGGGAGTAATGACTGTAATATATAAAGAACTAAAAGAGACAGCAGACCAATTAGTTCAGTCAATAGATGAGCAGTTGAAATGAACGGGCGCTTCTTAAATGAAGATATGCACACGGATGCACACATGTGCCCATGTTATATGCAAATACATGAACACTATCCAACACCTTTAGCTACCAGGGAAATACAGACCAACCTCACTGAGATTCTGTCTCATCCCAGTCAGAATGGATAATCATTAAGAAAACAAGAAGACTGGAGAGATGGCTGCTCTTCCAGAGGACCTGGGTTCAATTCCAGCACCCACATGTGTTGTGGGATATTGTGTGTGTAGGTGTATTGCTGCCGTTGGGTAACAAAGCACCAAATGGTCAGTAACTAGGGCAGGAGAGGATCGGTGGGATTTCCGGGGAAGAGAAGAAGAGAAGGAGGAATCTGGGTGGTGGATTTCACTAGTAGACTCAGAGCAAGTCAGAGGTGCCGTACTGAAGAAAGGTAAAAACCACATAGCAGAACATAGATTAAGAGAAGCAGGTTAATCTGAGTTATAAGAGCTAGTTGGCCTATACTAAGGCCAGTAGAACTAATTGTAAGACGTCTCTATATTGTTGTTTGGGGGCTGACAATTCAAAGATAGTCCAACAAAAGAGCTTGCTCCACACAGCCTCTAAAAACCATCTATAATGGGATCTAGTGCCCTTCCCTGTCACGCAGGCATGCATGCAAGTAGAGCGCTCATATGTATAAAATACATAAATAAATCTTTGGCCAGGTGGTGATGGCACACGCCTTTAATCCCAGTTCTCAGGGCAGAGGCAAGGGGATCTTTGTGAGTTTGAGGTCAGCCTGGTCTACAGAGTGAATGCTAGGACAGCCAGGACTGTTAAACAGAGAAACCCTGTCTCAACAAACAAACAAACAAACAAACAAACAAAAGGAAACAAAAGGAACTCTGCTCACTGCTAGTGGAAATGTAATTTAGTTCAGTCACTATGGAAATCAGTACGGAGGCTCCTTGAAAAATTTAATACAAAAGTTTCATATAATTCATTCATACCACTTCTGGGAGTATATCTCAAAAGAAAACAAAAACAAATACTGTATGCTTTCCCTCATATGTGGAAGACAGAAAAAACCAGACATGACAAGAGAAATATGAAGAAGGAGTGGGGGAAGGAAGGAAAAGGCAGGATAAAAACTTGATAGGAGAGATGAATATTAACAAAACATAAATGTATGTAATTGTAATACTGAAAACCTTATGCTCTACAATCAATGCAATAATTACTCTGGCTGAAGAGATGGCTCAGTGGTTAGGAGCTCTTGTTGCTCTTCCAAAGGAGTTGGATTTGGTTCTCAGAACCCACATGGCAGCTCACAACCATCTGTAAACCCTGTTCCAGGGGATATGACACCTTCTTCTTGCTTCCAGGGACACACATGGTGAACATACACACACACACACACACACACACACACACACACACACACACACAGATATAGATATAGGTAAAAAACTAGTATAAATAAAAATAAATTAAAATTTAAAAAATTATTCAATCTTACTAAACATATATAACTGTTTCATATTTTCTAAACAATTAAATAACCACTAAGCATTTATGTTGTTTGTGTGATATTATAAATAATTTAGAGAAGTCTAAAACTCCACAGGAGGATGCCCACGTGATATACAAACACTGCATCACTCTATCCAAGGGACTTGAGCATGTGCAGCTCTTGGTATCTGCAGGATGTCCTGGAACCAGTTTTTCACAATACCAAAGGATATGTGTATATGTATGTGTCATGTGTGCACATGTGTGTGAGAATGTATGTATGTATGTGTATAATATACATTGTTATTGAAAAAATAGGTATGTTTGCTAAGCAAGCCAACAATTTAAAAGAATACATATGACTAACACATCTCTTATGCCAAGTCTGAAATCTGAGAAATTAGTTAACTTTTTTCTTTATTAAAAATATGCGGGCTGGAGAGATGGCTCAGCGGTTAAGAGCATTGACTGTTCTTCCAGAGGTCCTGAGTTCAATTCCCAGCAACCACATGGTGGCTCACAACCATCTGTAGTGAGATCTGGCGCCCTCCTCTGGCATATGGGCATACATGGAGGGAGAATGTTGTATACATAATAAATAAAATAAATCTTAAAAAAATATGCATATATTAGCCAGGCAGTGATCTTGCAAGCCTTTAGTCCCAGGACTCAGGAGGTAGAGGCAGGTGGATTTCTAAGTTTGAGACCAGCCTGCTCTACAGAGTGAGTTCTAGGACAGTCAGGACTACACAGAGAAACCCTGTCTTGAGAAAACAAAACAAAACAAAATCCACATGTTGTAAAAACTTACCATGAATGATTTCTAAATTTTCATAAGGAAAAGCGTAATTAACTCATAAATAAAGTTCCCAGTGCTCAGCTTTACTGGCTAATAAAATTCTGTCCCTATTGCTTGGTATATATCCCCAACTTTTGTGTTTCTTCTTTGCTAAAAGAAATCTAAAACAAATCAAGATATGTCATTTTATTCAATTATATCAATATTATATTAAGTAATATATACATCAATATTATATTTGTAAAGATCAGATGAAAAATATTTTTGAAATTTCCACAAAGGCTTCTTCACTTAAACAAACTGTACACCTAACATTTTGTTTAATTTTTAAAATGTCCTTCATTTGAAAGAGGGCTCAGGTGAGGGTAAGGCATTCAATAAGGATTCTCTGACTGTAAGTCAAAGGTATGTGCAGGCCCACACGCTCACACAAGGGCCACAGCACGCCATTCACGCCACGCTGGCTTTCTCTGTAGGATTTGTGAGGCTGCACTGCTTTTGATTTTACACTTGAACCCCCTTCTGATTTTCCCCCCTTCCTTCGGAAGAGTTATTAAAATGGTTAGCAAATGCGTGCCTTTCCCCCTCATTTCTCTGAGCGATGAGACCCGAGAATGACTATAACAGGCCAGGCTCTGATGGAGTGCCGCGTCTCTTCTCGTTCAAATGACAGCTAACTTTACCGAGTGCCCGCCGCCCACAGGTCAGGAACAGCATTTACGGCATGAGTAGACTGTCATACATCATGGTATAGGGAGACGTTTATACATTAGTTCCAGGGGTGTCGGTGGGAAATATAAATAATGTTCCCAGCTGTAAGAAAATATAAATCCCCTTCACCCACTGAGGCAAAGCCTAGTTATGTATTCTAGATTGACGGCAGCTATTTTTTTCTTAAGTACCTATTTCCTAGGAAGCATTTAAATCCGCGCCGCGTTTTAATAAAACGGTCATTTATTTGCACAGTATGTAGGACTTGGAAGGACTTTCTGTCTTTTGTACGGAGGCTGTGTCTCTCATTTCTTTCTCTTATTTCACGAGCAATACATGCCGCTTCGCAGAAATTCTGTTGTGACAGAGCTCCTCTCTCCTTCAGGGCTCCATGGTGCTCTGTTAAAAATCTCCTAAAAAAAAAAAAATGTTTGGCATAGATTGTGATAGTGCTGACCTGGGGCGAGATACCAGGTGGTACCGCCACATATTTGTCTTTGAGGGGCTGAGAGACAGCAGTCTTGGTGGGAAGGGTTACAGGCTGGTTTGGAAGCTACTTTTGTTGAGCAAACAGCACTTTTTCTGTTTTGTGTGTGGCCTGGAGCAGTGCGGTTAGAGTCAGAGGGTTAGGAGGAACAGCTGCGGGCCTTGCAGCAGCTCCACAGGGCCGGCCTTGCAGCAGCTCCTCCACACAGCCACATCCCAGCCCCGCGCTTTTGGATGTGGGAACATGTGGGAAGCCATTGCCTCGTGCAGCTGTTAATCACTTGAAATATGGTTATTCCAAATTCAGATACACTGCATAAAGTAAGTGCTGACTTTCAAAGATTTATAATGGAAAAAGAGGATGCAAAGTATGTCATTGATTGCGTGCTGAGATGATACATATTTATGTTTATTTTCATAATTCTTAAGCATAAACTTGTCTGTGTATGCATGATTGCATGTGTGTGTACAAGCGTTAGGGCGTGCCCATGTTGTCTTCGCTCTCTTTCCATCTTATGTACGGAGGCAATGTCTCTCACTTGAGCCCACAGCTCACCCATTCAGCCAACAGGCTGCCACATCCACCCAGCATTTATGTAGGTTTTGGGGACCCAAGCTCTGGGCCTCACTCTTACAAGGTAAGCACTTTACCCACTGAGCCATCTCTTGAGTCATAGTATAACATTTTTAAAGAGCAGTTTTGGGCTCATAGCAAACTGGAGCAGATTCTATATTTCTCCCCACATAAGAACACACTCCCCCCATGGCATCAGCGTCCTGCACCACGGTGGTGTGTTAGCTACAGTCCACCAACATCCTATACTATGGTCGTGTGTTAGCTGCTGTCTGTGATCTGAAGCCCATCAGCGTCCTGCACCACGGCGGCACCATGGTCGTGCGTTAGCTACTGTCTGTGATCTGAAGCCCATCAGCGTCCTGCACCATGGTTGTGCATTAGCTACTATCTGTGAACTGAAGCCACTGTGTTGTCACTTGAACTTCACAGTTTGCATTAGGGTTCACATTAGTGTTTTGCCTTCCACAGGTTTTGGCAAATGCACCCCATGTCTCAGCCATCACAGTGTCTGTCTCCGAAGCCTTCTGGCCTCATCTCTTCTTTCGACCTCTTTTCAGACTCCTGGCAACCACTGGGCTCTTCAACCACCTGCTCTGCTGATTTCCCTTCCCCCCCCCCCCAGAGTTTTATGCAGTGGGAATGAAATAGACAACCTTTCACACTGATGGCCTTCTCTCTATTGTCCCTCCTGTCCTCAGATCCTTCATGATGTTTCACAGCTTGGTAACCTCATGGCTTGATGACTACCTTCTCCTTCCTTCTCCTTCCTTCTCCTTCCTTCTCCTTCCTTCTC